CGACATACCTACAAACTAAACAGATAGCAGTCTCATAAAAAATTCCCATATCGACCTAATTTTGAACCAAAATACTTTTTATTTTGTTGCTTTGTGAAACATAATCTTTTCCCGAAATATTATTATGTCTGGTAAATTAAATCAACCCGTCGTCCTTCTTAAGTTGGATTTCAAATAAAGTTTATTACGTTGAATGGCATCGTGAATGGTTCTTGTATTACTAAAGATTTCTTAAATGTGTGAAATATTTTGCAGGGACAATGAAGACGTCGAAACAAAGTGAAATGAGTTTTACATAGATACTTTTACCATATCTCTAAGGTTTAAAGAAATGTTGATCTCGAACGAACACCCAATTTATTTTAACAGGAAAAGCTAACCCAGCAATTTTAATAAAATCAATAAATGTTTTATTTCCGTAGAACACAAAGTGAAAGTTTTAAAAAATTTAAAAAATTGTGAACTGAATTCTAAATGTTATATCACATGTCAAAACGTATATATTGTTTCTAATTTATTCCAATAGTTGTGATGTACCAACAATCTTGGCATATCACAATGACATAATTCAGAATGTCTTTAAATGAATTTACAATAATCCCATAATAATGTTTGTGTCCAAGGAGTCAACAAGTACGTTGTAATTCCGATTATTAATTGAATAAATGATTCTTCTAACCATAACTAAAAATAATTCCTCAGACGGATATTAAAATATGAATGAATAATTTTGTTTGTAATTCCGATTAATAATTGAATAAATGATTCTTCTGACCATAACTAAAAACAATTCCTCAGACGGATATTAAAATATGAATGAATACTTTTGTTTACCTAAACCTTACATAAAAGTTAAGACACAATAATATGACCAAGATATTGGCCACACATTTGCTTCTGGAATATTCTAGATTTGTAATTATGTCTATACTTTGATCTCAAATATCTGTAAACAATTAATTTATAACTTTCAAACATAAGAAACATCAATAAACCGAACATCGCCTTCGATCACGGAGAAAATTCAAACACAGTATTCATTAAATATACATATCATTAATACATTGGCAACATGTATAAAGAAGTTTCATGGGGTCGGATTTTTTCATTGCTTTCATGAAGGTTTATTTAGGATTTTATTTATGATGCAGATTTGACAAAAATCGTTTCATTGCGTTGAAGCTGCATCTTTAAAGAAAGGAATTCTCGTGTCATCATCTTTAAAGAACGGAATTCTCGTGTCATCATCTTTAACGAACGGAATTCTCGTGTCATCATCTTTAAAGAACGGAATTCTCGTGTCATCATAGGTTTTAAGAAGAGTACTACTTTACGAAAAGTTGACTTTATATTTTAAACAATTTCCTTGTTTTCTAGCAAATCGTTGGTACACGTGATACATCTTTAATTGCAATTCACTGGAGAATCGTTTTCGAAAACGTAGTTGGAACTTGCCTTATCCTGATGAGAATAAAGTATTTTGTCCTGGATCACGATCTGTTTTGATAATTATATTGACACTGTCAAAATACTAACAAGAAACCAAAAAGGATGTATAAATTCATTTATATCTTTTGTTCAGTTCGACATGGCCGGAAAAAAAATATTAAAAGAAACGATCATTAGTGTAAAAGGTCATAGAGTAGAGCAAGAGTTTATTTTATCCACCAAGAGTAGAAAACAAATGGGAACATAATGTATTGAACATTACTTTGCCGTCAGAAAAATGTATTTGAAGACGATAAATAAGTTTATGGTACTCGTCTAGTACACTTTTGAAAGCTTTCCACAGGCTTTGCCAAACTAATCGTTAAAAATTCCGCAATAGTTTCGAATAAGACCCAACGGGTATTTTCGTAGTATAATATGTCAATGGGGTAATTTATATTGATGGATTTTGGATTCGTCATAACTGGGATCACTTTTGTCTAATTAGTTTTGAAGTTGTCCGTTCAGAATATCAGCGATGGAAGCTTTTAGCTTACGTTGATGTTGACAGTTTGTATAGGTTAAATGATTTCTACAAAGGCTGTTTCATAATGATTTTCGTGATAGAGATGTATGGCTTTAAGTTTATTCCGCCGTAAAACTACATATTGTATTTTTGCCAAACACAACTACAAAACTGTCAGTCTGTACTGTTAAGCTAAACTGGTTGTTAATGTTTAATGGTGATGTTAAAAGAGATTGATTTTCGAACGGGCTAAAGGATGGTTTTACTGGTGCTGTTTTAGCTGGAAGCGTTGATGTGGTGACCGTTGTTATTGCTAATGTCGATAGTATATTGGTGTTGGACTGGAATAGACAATAATAAATACAAAGACTGAATAACATTACCCACAATAGATTGTGTCCTTATTGCAACCTCAAATTCCCTCAAAGCACACCCACAAAGGTAGTTTTGTAGTTCTTACAGAGAAGAACTCTGAAATGGAGAAGTAGCTGATATGTGTGATGGTTGCGTTTTCTTTTCATAGTCAATAACCTAAGAAGCGGCAATCAAAGAATCAAATACTATGGATATCCTTTCCAAAGCACGTCTTAAAGTATACGCTTGTCTTTCGTATTCTTCAATCAAGAATGCTTTGATATCTTTATCTTCTTTTCTTGTCACTCCTTTTAATTCAGGCAAGGAAAATTTCATTTTTAAACTTATCAGTTAATGTTTTCCAATTTATAGAGAAGTTGGTCGCTTTCAGACACTTCTCCGGTGACACGAAACAATTCGGTTGTCTAGTTCAATAAATAAGTTTTATCGAATGTGCAATTGATTTTAACAGTGCGAACCCAATATTCGGTCTTTAACATTACTTCTTCCTGTTTAGCAGTAGGTGACTTTCGAAAAAAACACGATCAGACACTATCTCTTCGTCTTCAGGGGTTACATCTTTTGGTGTACAGCCATCACTACAATTGTATGATTTGATGAGATATGGTAATAAGTCAGTGTCTGTGAAAGTGTGTTGATGTATACAATATTTCCACATTCATTCTTTCAAAGATCCTTCAAATCCTTCTTCGACACTTGCCTTCGTAATAGGATTGTGTTCATGGTGAAAAATATGAAAGTGTCTTTTTATTATGAATGGAAATTGTAGTTCATAAATTTGACGTTTATTGTCAGGTTGGTATAGTGCGTCTAATGTGTGATGTAAAGAGTAGCTTTTCTATATTTGATATTAAAATCTCCGTTGGATTATTGGACTCATTTAATTTTAGAAGGTTTTGATTCTACCGGTGTACTAATCTCGATCGGAGCAGAGGACTTCAAACTGTTAAGAAATGGAGTCTCAAATGATCATCGTCTTTAACTTCATATTGTTGCTCCATTGTTTTTAAAAGAAAACAGGTATTAATCCACAGACTTGCCGTGAAACGAAGTATGATTACAAATAAAAAGCCAATTGTTGCGTGTATGTTTTGTTTAAATATTTTTTACTAAAGCTTTATTTTCTACAACAAAATCTTTAAACCCACATATTTGTAGTTTTTTGCGTATTTTCCATTTGGATCATTTTGGCGGGGCCCACTGGATTTACGTGCGAGACCATTGTGACCACGGCATTTGGAATAAACATTTAAACAATTTTTATGTGATATTTAACTTGAAAGTTTGTTTTATCGCTTTAAAATTAATTTGTCTCTGTGGATACATTTTAAACAATTAACCAAAACGGTTCAATCGGAGTAGGACCGGTCATGGTATCAGTCAAATCAAGGAAGTAGGAGGTACTCAGCTTCCTTGTTATGAATTCGGTGTATGTCCGTGCATGTTCCTAATACGATTAAAATCAGATCTCCGCTGTCATGCATGAAGATCTAACGACGACCGTGTAAAGGTCATGTTCTGGTCACCTTTGAATTTGCTAATGGAAATCGAATCAAATCTCCCAGTACACAAGTACGCTCTTCATCCATACTGCTCAGTCTCCAAATGCGAAGACATAAGACTTCAACTAATTGGTGGGTAATGTAATACATTTTTGAAGATGTGCATTTTGGTTATAGCGCCCCGTTTAAGGATTTCTTAGGTTTGTGTGATTTTACTTGTTTGATTAATGGAATTCGGTTCCATATAAATATTCCTTAGTCGGAAATAATTAGTCAGTTATTAGGAGTAAACGTCAAGGAGAGAAAGTGTAATTGTGTTTCAATGATGTCGTGGTCAATTAGTAATGAATTCAGACCCAAGCCACACGACTGTCCCTGAATAATGTAGTGTGTAATAAAATTTAGTACTGTACATTGGTGTTGTGACTGCATTGGCAGTATTTACGGTAGGAAACCAGTAAATTACACAATGGAATAAACAAGAAGGGTCTCTGTAGATACCGTTTTTGTCGCCATGGTGGTAAATTTGATGTAGTCGCATTGGCGTGATGTGCCTTGGAACCATGACTGGCCCAATGTGGCGTAGTTAAAACAGTTCTCTGAATATGGGGACAGTTGTAGAGTTTCTACGGCGTGAACTGCTGACAGTACGGAACGTTGATGAAGGAAAACTATGCAAATGTGCGGCTGATAGATGTTTGACTAGTTGGGAAATCTGTGGCTTTACATCGATTAGAATAAAATTTATGTATAGAATGTAAATATCTGGCCGTCTAACTTACAAATAAAGTTGTATAGAAGTCTTTGAAAATTTGGGGCAAACATGTGACTTTTAGCGGGAATCTCATCAGGATTCGACACAGCTCGGTCAAGCAAAGACCCCTGGCTTGTAACAATAACATTGTGGATTATGGCAATATCATAGGTTACCAGAACATGACCCCTAAACAGTCGCTGTCAGATTAATAGTGGGGATCGTATTTTAATCAGATTGTGCATGTCCCTTGCCATTCTTATACCATACAAATAGGCCAGGGGTGCACACACTTTTTCAGCATGCGAGCAACTTATAAAATGACCAAGCCAAAATGATCTACCTACCACAAAAAAATTTACTAACAATTCGATAAAAAAAAATGACTCAATTTACTATTACACTCCTTTTGCACGAGTGGCCTAGTGGTTAGAGCGTCCGCCTCGGATGCTGGATATCGTGAGTTCGATCTCCGGCAGAGTCATACAAAAGACTTACAAACATTAAGAGGTTCGTGTTATGAATGGTCGGCCTAGTGTCTGGATAATGCGACTGGGCGGGAAATCATGATACATGTTTGAGTCATAATACCCCAGTGCTAAACATGACTCTAAACTGCCACACTACATACATCGTAGTGATATGACTAAAATATTTTTAAAGCTACGTTAAAATTCCAAATCACAACAACACCACAACAACAACCTTCCGCTCAAATCTTTAATAAGCCTATTACATCTTTTGATTCACTGTCTGAGATTATGTCTACCCGTCAACGCATTTCCACTCATCTATTGTATCCTTTCTCTCTCCCATTTTTCCCAATTCATTCTGCTCTTCCTCCCCGACCTTCCTCCAAATTCCATCTACTCCTCCCCTTCGACTTTCTCTAGACTCTTTTTACTCCTCCATTTTATCTTCCACGACTACACTTCAGTCGACTTCGACCCTCTCAGCTAGTTTCGATTCCGTGGCCAACTCTTGAAGACTTGTGACCCTATGGAACCGGACGTTCGCTGTCCCCTAAAAACTCTCTCTTCTGGTAGTTATACAGGACTTAGATTTAGCCATTTTTAGCATTAGTTTAAAGGTAATTGGTTATTCTTTAAAATTTGAAAATTATGGTGTGGTGGTCTGTTTTTTATTTAATCGGCGACATAGTACTAATATTAGTACCTTAGTCCTACCTTGTGGACTACCTCAACCACAACAAAACAAGTTGAGGCTACGACATCGTAGCTAGCGGTGACAGTGCACAGTGAGTAATTAGACATTAATGATGATCTGATAGTGAAATCTGTGTCCCACTGTATGGTGCACTATTTATAGGCCTAGTCCAGTTTCTCAAAACAAATGCCGGATAACCCACAAGGGCTCGTATCGTCGCTTACAATTTACCCGTCGTTTATCCACTGTATTCATTATATAGTACATGTATGACAGGTAAACGGCAAGCAAAAGTATTAGCCCCTGTGGGATGACCCGTGACAATAATTTCAACTTGAGTTTATATTTTAGGGTACTTTTGAACAAGTGATGATTTATCATCATTTGGACCCAATGGAAAGTTTAATAGGCCTACTAAAAAGTAAATGTAGAGAATATGTAGTAAAATCAATTGCGGTCTGAGTCCATTTAGGTGCACTGTATCTATTATTAGAAACTTTTCCCCAGAATCTATTTATGGAAATGGAACTACGAGACTGGTTTTGGTTATAATTTTGATCTTTAAATTTAAGGTGAAATCCGATATAGTACAGCAGACCAAATGTTTCCCTGGAATCAGGAAGTTAAACTGTCGTCTGTGACAGATGCGAACAAGATCAGGTAAAGAATATATGATCTATATATTTGAGGATGACAGATGAAAAAGCTGCATCGTTTTGACCAAAAGAATGCACATCTGAAGAACTCATCGCAGATTTTTGATTCCTGTAGTCATATTTAGGTAATTTGGTTAAAACAATCGTATTTCTCGTTTTGTTTAATTTTCTTTTTAAAATGATACACGGCTAAAGCGGGTTAACACATGACACAATGTCCAGTATTAAAATTGTTGTTTCAAGATGGGTTAATTTGCTGATGGATCACTAAATCCACTATTCATGCAGGTGCAATGGGTAAAAATGTTTAAAAAAAAGTCTGCAATTCAATCGGCGGTCAGCATTTCAAGGTACAGGACAAAGTCTGAGTGTCCATTTGACTGGTATGGTGGATTTTGTGCCGACTTTTACATGGCACTGTGACTTTGTTTGGTTTGTTTCCTAAGTCAGCTGTATTCAGTAATATAGTTTACTTGTCAAAATGTGATGTTTTACTATCACATCTATACATCCTAGTCTTTGGTTGATATTGTAAGTATCTCCTGTAAATTAACCTTGTGCATGCTCTTATTTCAACTTTTTCATCACAAATTATTTCATTTGTTAATATTTGAGAAAAAGCAAAAGTATTTGGCAAGTTTATGCAAATTTACAATTTGTCATCTAACTAAAGATTTGTTAGTTTAGAAAGAAAAATGTTTGTCCTTACAGCTGTACATTTCTGCTTCCAAACTATGGTTTGAGTTTAACTCAGATTACACAAGTTGACCTGAAGGCCATGGTCATTGGCTCTATTGGTGTTGTGCTATCAAAATTATATATATATATATATATATATATATATATATATATATATATATATATATATATATATATATATATATATATATATATATATATATATATATTCTGACAGGAGAGAGTGAGAGACATAGACATAGTGTTTTCTTTTGAGTTATACAGAGAAGGAACACCTTTGTCATTTTGATAAGGGTATGATAAAGTTTTAAAAGTATAGCATTTTTATATGAGAACAATATTCATGACTAGACCACTTATGTCATGTTTCATCAAATGTATCCATGTATTTGTAAGAAATAATTGATAGCATGTTTCAACAAATGCATTAAAATGACTCTTATTGACTAAAGATGAATCATACACTTGTTTATCTTCCATTATTGACACAGTAGGAGTGATTATGTTATAGGTCATTTGCACAATGTCATCCACAGTGTCATATATGAACTTCATGTTTCAGCAGATTTACTATGAAGTACTGAAAACTGCATGTCTGTCATTGTACAATCTTGCATAGTGCAAACGTCTTTTCATGATTTGATAGTTACTGTTCCTGTATTGTTTATCAGTTTGGTGAATTGATTGCACACATTTCATATGATGTCTCAGGAATTAAATTTAAGATGTTAATGCACATCTTGCATCCTAAAGAAAAATTGTGCATGTAATGGTTTTACTTGTCCTTTTGTGAGACCTCACTTAAGAGTTCTTCAATAATTTACCACCTGAAATATTTTGGACATTTTTTTTAAAAGAATGTGGTTTATATAAAACAAATTGATCCATATTTAAAGTTTATCATGTTTTTTACCTTTATTTTTTAATATACTTTTTTAATTTAATTTAATTTTTTAATATACCGTTTTAAAAAATGGTAAAAAAATCTGGATAGCTGCCTCAAGCCTGTTAAGCTATAGCGGCCATCATAACCATCAGAGATAAACTTGACAACACAATTTCAGTTGACTCATTATTACCATGCAGTTGCAATACAGAATTTCAGCTGCAACCATTAACAGCATTTGAATCTGTCTCTATGGATTTAGTATGTACAATCATGATGAAGAGTGCTCCAAAGTCATGTGAACTGGATCCGATTCTGATGTCACTGTTGCTAGAGTGCTTGGATCCAGTATTGTCTTCATTAACAGATGTTATTAATACATCTCTCTCATCTGGGGAATTCCCATCATTTTACAAAACTGCTATTGTAAAGCCTCTGCTGAAGAAACCAACACTTGACCATAATGATCTAAAGAACTACTGCCCAATTTCTAATCTCCCATTCATGTCAAAAATCTTAGAAAAAGTTGTTCTATCCCAACATGATTTTTAGCAATTTACAGTCTGCATATCAGCCTTGCCACAGTACTGAAACTGCCCTTCTGAAAGTAGTCAACGACCTTCTCTCTGCTTTGGATAGCGGAAAGACTAGTCATCACTCTATTTGACTTGTCTGCAGCATTTGACACTATACACCATGATATATTACTTCACCATCTCCAGCATGTATTTGGCATTCACGATACAGCTTTATAATGGTTCAAGTCCTACTTGGTTAACAAGACACAAATTGTGTCTGCAAATGGAAAACACTCCAGTCCAGTTGATCTATGCTGTGGTGTTCATAGGGGTCTTTTCTTCGACCTGTTCTCTTCATTTTGTTCACTCAGCCACTCTCAGGTGTCATAGATCATCATCCAGTGTCACCAGTTGTATGCTGATGATACCCAGATATACAAATGTAGCCATCCAGTTGAAGTTGAAGCTACCATCCAAGACATAGAGAGGTGCATTTCTGATGTGAAATCATGGATGACATGTAACAAGCTGCAGATGAATGATGATAAAATTGAAGCTATCCTAATTACAACACAAAGACTTTTTCATTCACATCCTTTACCTCAGACAATAAATATCAGCAGCACCAACATTAAACTCAAGCAGTCAGTATGAAACCTTGGTGTCACTCTTGACAGTACAGTCTCATTGCATCATTATGTCATGAACATATGCTGGGCAGTATATCTTGAGCTGAGATGCATCAGCTCCATTTGCAAGTATCTGTCAGTTGATGCCATTAAAATACTTGTGTGTTCCTTAGTACTTTCAAGACTGGATATTGTAATTCAATTTTGTCTGGCTCATTTCAATATCTACTTCAGAAACTTCAAACAATTCAAAACAATGCTGCTCAGATCATCCCTAAATGTACCATGATCTCCGCTGTTCTGTACACTGGCAATCCATATGATCCAGAATTAAACACAAAATTTATTCTCTGTGCTATATTTCACTGACGGGCTCCAGTCCAATATATCTATATGACCTCACCCATGTGTACACACCAGCAAGGTACTCCTCTTCTGACACTCGTATTCTAAATATTCCCACTATAAAGTTGAAATCATATGGACAATGTTCTTTTGCATACCGGGGCCCAGCAATGTGGAATGAATCACCCACTGCACTTAGACACAAAGACACAGTGACCAATCAGGAGTGCCCTTAAAACTCATCTATTTCAACTGCAAAAACAGTCATAAAGACCTAATAATGTATCCTTTTGATGTATCCTTATCTTAAAAATTTACTGCATGTTTTTCTGTTTCTAATTTTCATGGTGTTTGTTTTTATTTTTGTAATCATTTCATGTATTATATTCTTTTTGTGCATTGTCAAATGTTGTAAAGTGCTTAGAGCTTGATTAGGCACTATATAAAGTCCTCGTTATTATCATCATTACATTTGAAAGAATTCTATATTCTTCACTTTTTATAACATATTTATGTTTGTTTGAAACAGTTTATTTTGCAAATGCTTTGATATTTTTTTATTCTTACATGCTTGTTAACTTTAA